CTGTATGTTGTTGGTGACTCGCATGTTGGGGTTCACTGCCTGCTTCTGCTTAATGGCCTTCAAGTTGCAGGGTGTTTGAGAATTCCCCAAAACACCCCACAGTCACGCCCTCCCTGGCCTCACACCTGTATGTTGTTGGTGACTCGCATGTTGGGGTTCACTGCCTGCTTCTGCTTAATGGCCTTCAAGTTGCAGGGTGTTTGAGAATTCCCCAAAACACCCCACAGTCACGCCCTCCCTGGCCTCACACCTGTATGTTGTTGGTGACTCGCATGTTGGGGTTCACTGCCTGCTTCTGCTTAATGGCCTTCAAGTTGCAGGGTGTTTGAGAATTCCCCAAAACACCCCACAGTCACGCCCTCCCTGGCCTCACACCTGTATGTTGTTGGTGACTCGCATGTTGGGGTTCACTGCCTGCTTCTGCTTAATGGCCTTCAAGTTGCAGGGTGTTTGAGAATTCCCCAAAACACCCCACAGTCACGCCCTCCCTGGCCTCACACCTGTATGTTGTTGGTGACTCGCATGTTGGGGTTCACTGCCTGCTTCTGCTTAATGGCCTTCAAGTTGCAGGGTGTTTGAGAATTCCCCAAAACACCCCACAGTCACGCCCTCCCTGGCCTCACACCTGTATGTTGTTGGTGACTCGCATGTTGGGGTTCACTGCCTGCTTCTGCTTAATGGCCTTCAAGTTGCAGGGTGTTTGAGAATTCCCCAAAACACCCCACAGTCACGCCCTCCCTGGCCTCACACCTGTATGTTGTTGGTGACTCGCATGTTGGGGTTCACTGCCTGCTTCTGCTTAATGGCCTTCAAGTTGCAGGGTGTTTGAGAATTCCCCAAAACACCCCACAGTCACGCCCTCCCTGGCCTCACACCTGTATGTTGTTGGTGACTCGCATGTTGGGGTTCACTGCCTGCTTCTGCTTAATGGCCTTCAAGTTGCAGGGTGTTTGAGAATTCCCCAAAACACCCCACAGTCACGCCCTCCCTGGCCTCACACCTGTATGTTGTTGGTGACTCGCATGTTGGGGTTCACTGCCTGCTTCTGCTTAATGGCCTTCAAGTTGCAGGGTGTTTGAGAATTCCCCAAAACACCCCACAGTCACGCCCTCCCTGGCCTCACACCTGTATGTTGTTGGTGACTCGCATGTTGGGGTTCACTGCCTGCTTCTGCTTAATGGCCTTCAAGTTGCAGGGTGTTTGAGAATTCCCCAAAACACCCCACAGTCACGCCCTCCCTGGCCTCACACCTGTATGTTGTTGGTGACTCGCATGTTGGGGTTCACTGCCTGCTTCTGCTTAATGGCCTTCAAGTTGCAGGGTGTTTGAGAATTCCCCAAAACACCCCACAGTCACGCCCTCCCTGGCCTCACACCTGTATGTTGTTGGTGACTCGCATGTTGGGGTTCACTGCCTGCTTCTGCTTAATGGCCTTCAAGTTGCAGGGTGTTTGAGAATTCCCCAAAACACCCCACAGTCACGCCCTCCCTGGCCTCACACCTGTATGTTGTTGGTGACTCGCATGTTGGGGTTCACTGCCTGCTTCTGCTTAATGGCCTTCAAGTTGCAGGGTGTTTGAGAATTCCCCAAAACACCCCACAGTCACGCCCTCCCTGGCCTCACACCTGTATGTTGTTGGTGACTCGCATGTTGGGGTTCACTGCCTGCTTCTGCTTAATGGCCTTCAAGTTGCAGGGTGTTTGAGAATTCCCCAAAACACCCCACAGTCACGCCCTCCCTGGCCTCACACCTGTATGTTGTTGGTGACTCGCATGTTGGGGTTCACTGCCTGCTTCTGCTTAATGGCCTTCAAGTTGCAGGGTGTTTGAGAATTCCCCAAAACACCCCACAGTCACGCCCTCCCTGGCCTCACACCTGTATGTTGTTGGTGACTCGCATGTTGGGGTTCACTGCCTGCTTCTGCTTAATGGCCTTCAAGTTGCAGGGTGTTTGAGAATTCCCCAAAACACCCCACAGTCACGCCCTCCCTGGCCTCACACCTGTATGTTGTTGGTGACTCGCATGTTGGGGTTCACTGCCTGCTTCTGCTTAATGGCCTTCAAGTTGCAGGGTGTTTGAGAATTCCCCAAAACACCCCACAGTCACGCCCTCCCTGGCCTCACACCTGTATGTTGTTGGTGACTCGCATGTTGGGGTTCACTGCCTGCTTCTGCTTAATGGCCTTCAAGTTGCAGGGTGTTTGAGAATTCCCCAAAACACCCCACAGTCACGCCCTCCCTGGCCTCACACCTGTATGTTGTTGGTGACTCGCATGTTGGGGTTCACTGCCTGCTTCTGCTTAATGGCCTTCAAGTTGCAGGGTGTTTGAGAATTCCCCAAAACACCCCACAGTCACGCCCTCCCTGGCCTCACACCTGTATGTTGTTGGTGACTCGCATGTTGGGGTTCACTGCCTGCTTCTGCTTAATGGCCTTCAAGTTGCAGGGTGTTTGAGAATTCCCCAAAACACCCCACAGTCACGCCCTCCCTGGCCTCACACCTGTATGTTGTTGGTGACTCGCATGTTGGGGTTCACTGCCTGCTTCTGCTTAATGGCCTTCAAGTTGCAGGGTGTTTGAGAATTCCCCAAAACACCCCACAGTCACGCCCTCCCTGGCCTCACACCTGTATGTTGTTGGTGACTCGCATGTTGGGGTTCACTGCCTGCTTCTGCTTGATGGCCTTCAAGTTGCAGGGTGTTTGAGAATTCCCCAAAACACCCCACAGTCACGCCCTCCCTGGCCTCACACCTGTATGTTGTTGGTGACTCGCATGTTGGGGTTCACTGCCTGCTTCTGCTTAATGGCCTTCAAGTTGCAGGGTGTTTGAGAATTCCCCAAAACACCCCACAGTCACGCCCTCCCTGGCCTCACACCTGTATGTTGTTGGTGACTCGCATGTTGGGGTTCACTGCCTGCTTCTGCTTAATGGCCTTCAAGTTGCAGGGTGTTTGAGAATTCCCCAAAACACCCCACAGTCACGCCCTCCCTGGCCTCACACCTGTATGTTGTTGGTGACTCGCATGTTGGGGTTCACTGCCTGCTTCTGCTTAATGGCCTTCAAGTTGCAGGGTGTTTGAGAATTCCCCAAAACACCCCACAGTCACGCCCTCCCTGGCCTCACACCTGTATGTTGTTGGTGACTCGCATGTTGGGGTTCACTGCCTGCTTCTGCTTAATGGCCTTCAAGTTGCAGGGTGTTTGAGAATTCCCCAAAACACCCCACAGTCACGCCCTCCCTGGCCTCACACCTGTATGTTGTTGGTGACTCGCATGTTGGGGTTCACTGCCTGCTTCTGCTTAATGGCCTTCAAGTTGCAGGGTGTTTGAGAATTCCCCAAAACACCCCACAGTCACGCCCTCCCTGGCCTCACACCTGTATGTTGTTGGTGACTCGCATGTTGGGGTTCACTGCCTGCTTCTGCTTAATGGCCTTCAAGTTGCAGGGTGTTTGAGAATTCCCCAAAACACCCCACAGTCACGCCCTCCCTGGCCTCACACCTGTATGTTGTTGGTGACTCGCATGTTGGGGTTCACTGCCTGCTTCTGCTTAATGGCCTTCAAGTTGCAGGGTGTTTGAGAATTCCCCAAAACACCCCACAGTCACGCCCTCCCTGGCCTCACACCTGTATGTTGTTGGTGACTCGCATGTTGGGGTTCACTGCCTGCTTCTGCTTAATGGCCTTCAAGTTGCAGGGTGTTTGAGAATTCCCCAAAACACCCCACAGTCACGCCCTCCCTGGCCTCACACCTGTATGTTGTTGGTGACTCGCATGTTGGGGTTCACTGCCTGCTTCTGCTTAATGGCCTTCAAGTTGCAGGGTGTTTGAGAATTCCCCAAAACACCCCACAGTCACGCCCTCCCTGGCCTCACACCTGTATGTTGTTGGTGACTCGCATGTTGGGGTTCACTGCCTGCTTCTGCTTAATGGCCTTCAAGTTGCAGGGTGTTTGAGAATTCCCCAAAACACCCCACAGTCACGCCCTCCCTGGCCTCACACCTGTATGTTGTTGGTGACTCGCATGTTGGGGTTCACTGCCTGCTTCTGCTTGATAGCCTTCAAGTTGCAGGGTGTTTGAGAATTCCCCAAAACACCCCACAGTCACGCCCTCCCTGGCCTCACACCTGTATGTTGTTGGTGACTCGCATGTTGGGGTTCACTGCCTGCTTCTGCTTAATGGCCTTCAAGTTGCAGGGTGTTTGAGAATTCCCCAAAACACCCCACAGTCACGCCCTCCCTGGCCTCACACCTGTATGTTGTTGGTGACTCGCATGTTGGGGTTCACTGCCTGCTTCTGCTTAATGGCCTTCAAGTTGCAGGGTGTTTGAGAATTCCCCAAAACACCCCACAGTCACGCCCTCCCTGGCCTCACACCTGTATGTTGTTGGTGACTCGCATGTTGGGGTTCACTGCCTGCTTCTGCTTAATGGCCTTCAAGTTGCAGGGTGTTTGAGAATTCCCCAAAACACCCCACAGTCACGCCCTCCCTGGCCTCACACCTGTATGTTGTTGGTGACTCGCATGTTGGGGTTCACTGCCTGCTTCTGCTTAATGGCCTTCAAGTTGCAGGGTGTTTGAGAATTCCCCAAAACACCCCACAGTCACGCCCTCCCTGGCCTCACACCTGTATGTTGTTGGTGACTCGCATGTTGGGGTTCACTGCCTGCTTCTGCTTAATGGCCTTCAAGTTGCAGGGTGTTTGAGAATTCCCCAAAACACCCCACAGTCACGCCCTCCCTGGCCTCACACCTGTATGTTGTTGGTGACTCGCATGTTGGGGTTCACTGCCTGCTTCTGCTTGATGGCCTTCAAGTTGCAGGGTGTTTGAGAATTCCCCAAAACACCCCACAGTCACGCCCTCCCTGGCCTCACACCTGTATGTTGTTGGTGACTCGCATGTTGGGGTTCACTGCCTGCTTCTGCTTAATGGCCTTCAAGTTGCAGGGTGTTTGAGAATTCCCCAAAACACCCCACAGTCACGCCCTCCCTGGCCTCACACCTGTATGTTGTTGGTGACTCGCATGTTGGGGTTCACTGCCTGCTTCTGCTTGATAGCCTTCTTCAGGGCAGCATCCAGATCCTCCTGTGGAATGACCAGTCATAAGTTTCGGCAATGAGGATGAAAGGGGATACGAGGGAGAAGGCATGGAGTAGTGTGGGAGGGAGGAGTGAGAAATAGGAGAGGGACAAAGGAAGGAGGAGAGTTGAAAAGAGGACGGAAACCCAAGTGGTGATCAGGGTGGGAGTGAGCCATGGCATTAGCGTGTATGGGACGCTCTCCGTTTTGTTTACCGTAGAAGGTGTACCTTGTTGAAAAAGACGGGGCAAAAGCGCCTGTTCTTGCTGCGAAGGATGAGATTCTCCGACTGCAAAAGACAAGGCCAAACAGAGAGAGCGAGAGTGTGAGTGTGAGCGAGACTGAGAAAGAGCGTGAGTGAGTGACCAAACAGTGGGAGTGGGAGTGAGGGTGCGATGGGCATCCTGGTATCAAATACTGGACAGTACAAAGGACAAAAGAAAAAAGAAAAAAAAGAAAAAAGGGTACAACGCATGTCAGTGAGCACCTGAAAGACGGGAACTCCGTCAAATGCCCGCGCGGTGTCTCCAGATGCTGACAAGACCTGCAAATTCAGACGGGAAAAGAGACATCGACAACACCAGTTTAAACAATAGGACAGAAAAAAGGTGAGAAGAATAAGGCAGCAGAAGGCGGCGGGCCAGAGAGAGTGAAAGAGCTTCACCTGAAGGGCGTATTTCACCTGAAGGGCGTGCTTGACTTGGGTGGGGTCAGGCAAGAAGCGGAATGCAATCCCCTCGGCTGATAGCTGGTACACCTGGTGCACGCGTGGCAAGAGCACACAGGCGAGGCCACAAGATGCAGGAACGGAGAGAGGAGGGCTTAGCGGAGGGTCAATGTGAGATGCAGCAATCGACACCTGGCGTCCGAGAAGGGCTTAAGGGCATCTGGGCGGAAGAAATGATGTGAAATGAAGAGGATGAAAAAGAGGAGTCTGAGGGCAGGAATAGGCTATGCTCATTGACAAGATGATGCTGCATCTTCGCAAACCAAGGGCCATCACTGAAACGGCGCTCACCTGGGCGTGACATGACACAGGCACCACTCAACCCCACAACCAGGCTCCCTTTCTCTGATGGCATTGCTATCATTGCACGCTGACCTTCCCGCTTCATGCAACACCCACCTTGCAAAGTGACACCCACCTTGCCAAGTCACACCCACCTTGCCAAGTCACACCCACCGTCAAGCCACACCCACCTTGTCAAGTCACACCCACCTTGTCAAGTCACACCCACCTTGTCAAGTCACACCCAGCTTGTCAAGTCACACCCAGCTTGTCAAGTCACACCCACCTTGTCAAGTCACACCCACCTTGTCAAGCGACACTGGCACCACCTTCGCTCCACGCCCAAGTGACGGCTCGCGATCCTTCACCTACACACAGTCAGAGGGGGAGGAGAAAACGAAGAAACGAGGAAGATAAAAGAGAGAGGGGGAACGGCACATGCATGAGGAAGAGAACGAGAAGCAAGGGAAGGACGTCTGGAGGAGATAGGCCAGGAGAGGATTTGATCTGCGTTATCTGCAGTTGAGCATTACCTGCGCCAGCAGCATTTCAGCATCTTCTCTCCTGAAGCAGAAAAGCCCGAGGGACTTGTTCCCTCCCATGTCCGATATAAGCACGAACTCGCTTGCAGTGTTAGTCACGGTGTACACGGGTACACCATCTAACCGCTTCGCTACTTGGTCCGCCGACATGGCAATGTCGAAAATGTGTCTCGCGGGAGATTCGAACCCGTGACCTTCCGCTCCTAGAGCAGACGCGGATTCGGCGGTAGATGCGAGATCCGATGCGGATGGTGACTGTAACGAAGCCAGTCGCTGATCCGCTGGATCCACAGCAGCAGCGCCACCGAATCTCCCCGCGAACGACGCCGTGATGGAGGCGAACTGGTGGCGAAAGGGGAGCAACGATGAGTCGGCGACATTGTTACCACTCCTGTCGACGCAGTCGCCGATCGGATCGATTCCGCCAGTAACTCCCCCCAGTAGCCTTCCGGCCTCCTCCGGAAAACCCTCAACGAGCCGCGCAACGTCCCTCTGTCTGTCCCTTAACCACCCTCCGGCGGCTTGACGGAGCTTAAAAGGAACGCTCTGGCGTTCCTCATCGCCGCGACGATCGGATCTACCAGCGTGAGCTTCACGACACTCAATCCGATGCGAGCTCTGCTGAATCTGATTCAAATGCTGCTGAAACGACTGGAGCTGCGTCTGCAGCCATCGGATCGGCTGCTGCTGCTGCTGCCTGTCAGCTTTGTCCATCTCTTACAGATGTTTAGTGCCCTGACAGCGAGACGACGCGGTTAGAGCACGCGGTTGTTATGTTTCGATCATGAAATGGCTTGCCTGAAGCTGAACGCATAAGCTAGGAGCATGGCATGATAACCTGGGGCAGGAATGGGAGTCGGAACATTGGCGTAAAAGAATGCGTTGAAAGCAGGTGCGTTAACAAATAAGAACGATACATAGACACATTTTGAATATAACTGTTACAAATACGTAATGCTTTGATAGCAAGGATTATCGATGAAAGCGAAAAAGGAGGACGATAATAATGCAGATTTCCAGGTTCAGGGACGAGCCGACAGGCCATCCTTGCGCGGAGACTCGAAAGTCCATTGTCGTCTAGCGTGACATGGCAGCACTTTTGAGCCATTTTGGCTTGCGGAATCCACGCGGCGCCCGTCATCTCGCCACCTGGCTTCGCCCCATCGCTTCGGAAATTGGGAACCCCAGCGCATTCGGCCTCACCTGGGGATCAGCCTCACTTCGGGATTGCCTTCCCATGAGCGGATCATCCTGTTCCTTCACAATTTTCCCACACCCCTCCCCCGCCCTCCCCCCTCCTTGGTGGCAGCCTGCTGCGCCCAGTGCTTAACTAAGCGTCGTTTACACCAAAGCTGCAGATGCCTAGTACTTCTGAGTAGGTTTTGGCATTCTGCTCGTTATCATTGTGAGTCAAGAGTGAAGTTAGCGCAGAAGCTGGAGTTTTATTTCTCCAGTCTCACGCTTCCCAGGTCAAGGAGCATCTGGAGCGAAGCGGACGTCTTTAATACGCAAAACCAGTCCTTTAATTGCCAGATCGCGCATTTTCGAAGCTTGCACACGCCATGGCGACCACTTCTCTCCAGTGCTCCCGGCTGAGCTGCCAGCTCTTCTCCCGCTCCACACAACGAGCATCGCGACCGTCCGATTCCATCAAGACCGACTCCTTCGCTCACGGCACGAAGCTCGCGCTGACCGCCGTGCAGAGGAGAGCATCGAAGTTCGCACCCAAGGCCTCCGTCGCTGTGCAACCAACGGCGAATGCGGAGACGATCAGCGCGGACGATCGGCTCAGGTTGAAGGAGAGCGAGGATGCGTCCAAGCCTTACTCTGTGATTGAGGTCGATGCTGCGGAGAAGAAGGATTTCAATGTCGCGACAGTTGTTGCCGTTCAGGACGTCGCTCCTGATGTGCGAGTGGTGACGGTCAATGCGGAAATCTCGAGAGAGGTATGACGCGTTTTTATGAAAGGCGTGTTCTCTACTGCAAGCTGTGATTATTTCATTCTTTCCTAGTACCGGCTTTAAATTCAGCGTAAAGAAATTATGGAGCATCGGCGATTTTCCGATCCTTATGAGCATCAGATAAGTTCAGATTATTTTTCTTAACCCACATAGGCTTAGCGTGCAAAGTCGAAGTCGGCTGACACGGCAGAGGTCACCGTACCTGAAAATTTCGTCTCTGTTACGCGCATGACGAGTCGAGACGTGGACATGGCCGCGTCACAAGCAAGATGAGTGCACTTGAGAAGAACTGCAGCACATCGGGCATGCCGCTCCTGGCGTATGGTGCTCACACCAGTCGAACATACTACAGAGCAGCTAGACCGGCCTAGCCTGTTCATTTCTTGGCATCGTGCAGCATCAATCTATTCTCTCGTTTGCAACGATGTAGCCGTGTAAACAGCAAAGGATCCGACCCAAGCTTGAAGCCGATGTTCAATGCTTTCTTGGTACTAGAATAGAGTCCCTCAACCTCCCCTCACCCTCACCATCCTCACCACCACCGTATCTTCTCTTGTTTCCCGTCCCCTTCCTGCCACCCTGCAGTTCATTCCCATTGACCAGGCCTACACGAAGCCCGGGCAGACCGTGCTGGTGCGCGTGGCGGAGGGAGAGCCCGTGGTGACGTACGTGTCGAGCCCGCCGTTCCCCAGCGAGAGCAACTGGCGCGTGCTGTACAAGCTGCGCGGCGACATCCCCGCCGGGGCCACCAAGGCGCCGCAATACGCGCTGTCTGTGAAGCACCCGCTCGAGCTGCACATCACGCCCGACCACCCTCTCTACAACATGCAGCCCGGTGAGCAATGCAATGCCCTGGGTGGGAACGAAGTGACGCCTCATAATCTCTAAAGCCTGGAGATCTCTTCAGCCTCAGATTGACACCAATCCACACGCTACAACCCGCAGCCTGGTGAGCGCGGCAACACATCTGAAGGCGTCTCCTTTTGTTGAAATCATAGAGAGGCCTGATGTCAAGAGCTCGAACCCGAAGCCTACCTCCAAGTCTGACCACCACCCAATAGGCCAGCTGGAGCCGGGTGAGCGTTTCAGCTGATGCTGGACGCAATCTGAAACTACCTCAGATGCTTTGTTTCTAAATCTGCATGGCTCGCCGCCTCACCTCAACCCCTTCACATGATGTACTTTGGTGAAGGGGTCAGTGAACATGTCTGTCGACCTCGCTTCAAACTTTATGCAGCTGACACATGGCAAAGCCATGGTAGAAGAACGATTTGAGCATACTTCACCTCTTCTTTGTCTGACAGTTGCCCGTCCCTTTCCGTTCCTGGCCTTTACCCCCCAGGAGCTGAGTTAGAGGTCGGGGCCTTCCAGGCCAACGGGCTGGACCTGCGGCCAATCATGTTCCTCTCGCGGTTCCCCACGCTGCTCATCTTTGCCGCGGGCAACGGCATTGCGGCGGCGCGGACGCTCATAGAGGCCTCGGATGTGGGCTCACTGTTCCTCAACATGCGCTCCGAAGTGCGGCTCTTCTACTCCGCTCCCTCGCCCTCAGCCGTGGCTTACAAGGTACGGAGCTTGGTATTTCCGAACTGACTTCTGAATAGACTCAAGTCGGGCAACGGCTTTGCGGCGGCGCGGTCGCTGCCTCGGATGTGGGCTCGCCATTCCTCAACATGCGCTCCGAAGTGCGGCTCTTCTACTCCGCCCCTTCGCCCTCAGCCGTTGCTTACAAGGTACACAGCTTCGTGGTTTCCTGAGCCGCTGCTTCTTGCATTTCAAGGTTTGACGTTTCTTGTAGGCGAGTTACGAGGGGTTGGTGTCAACCTGAGGCTGGCTGGACTTGGAAAAGCCTCTATTAGTTGCAGAATGGAGGAGTGAGTGGGAGGTGAAGCAGCAGGGATGGGATGACGGAATGGGTGTGGAATGGCAGGTGTGATATGCATGAGAGTGCACACAGAGAGTGGAGGGGGGTATGGGAGGGAGTGCCAACCAAGGCTACGCGAAAGTGCCTTGATTTCCTGAATTGCCAGTTTTCCTGCATCAGCACCTATCAGGCTAACCTTTCCTTGCCCGTCAATCTTATTTTGTGCAGGACCACTTTGCCCAATGGGAGAAGCTGAATGCGAAGGTGAGGCCGACTGTGGACGCGACAAACGGGGAGGAGTGGGACGGGCTGGTGGGGTCGTTTATGGATGCGTTCGACGCGGACGACTTGGAGTACGACCCTGAGCTCACAGCCGCTGTGGTGTTTGGCGACAAGCAGTCCAACCAAGCTGCGCTGCAAGTGCTGAAGGAGGCCGGGGTTCCTGAGAAGAGCATCTTGGTTTGGGATGCATAGAATGCGCACTGATATGCAATAGAAATCGCTTGGTGCCGCACATGTAATGAGAATTATGCCAGCTTAAAACCAGGGTGCACATTCAACGCGGTTTGGCTTGAGATGTTGGGAAGGGGGTTTGGAGAAAAACAGTGATTGGCTCACGAGGGGCGACAAAAAAATGATTCCGCTAGAGCTTCGGGCATTTCGTAGGTGGCGGGAGGGGGTGAAATGGCGGGAGTGGGTGAAACCGAATGGCGGGAGGGATGAAACAGATTGGCGGGAGGGGGGGGAAACGAAATTGCGGGGGAGGGGGGAAACAAAATTGCGGGGGAGGGGGGAAACGAATTTCGACGGGGAGGGGGAAATGAAATTGCGGGGGCGTGGGGAAACGAAATTGCGGGGGAGGGGGGAAACGAATTTCGACTTGAAGGGGTTGAAAGCACACCTCGTAACCCACTCAGTCAAGGGATAACCTTTGATGCACATTCAGCTGAATGTGCACCCCGGTTTTAACGCTGTAATTCGTCTTGATTGAGAAAGCTTGCTTTCTTGTTTTTATCATTTGGCCTCGTTCTCATTGCAAATGGCATATTACAACATATCCATCGAGTTCTAACACAAGCTAGTACATGCAGAGAATACTAGCTAAAATGTACCGTGTCCAAACGGCCTTAGTAGGCAGTCGATGCTGGGGTGGGTGGTGGGAAAGTTGAGTGAGCCGTTGGAAATAGAGAAACGTGGGTGGAGGGAAATGAGCTCCAACCCACGGTTTTTGTAGTTGGAGAAGGGCGTTTAGCGCGCTTCGACGATGCCAAATGTGCAGTACAAGCAGCTTCGCTTTCACAATACACAATTTTAAAAACACAATGTGTGTTTAAAATTTATAATTTTTTGTACCTTCAATTTTGTGGTGACTCAAAATCAGGTCCTCCCTCAGACAGGCTGACAATTTTGACCTGAATGAAGGTAGATATTGTAATTTTTGAACCCTCTCAAGTGGCTGACAGAATCAGCAGTGATTGCAAGTACGGTCTGGGATGAATCGACTGACTACCTAAGGTACTATGTATCATTGCTTGCGAAGAATAAGAAACATGATCTCTCACATGCTTCAAGTGATCTGTTAGCGCGTATGAGTTCACTGCTTCTCTCCCCTCCCCCGAGCTCACTCTAGAAAGGTGGAGCCATTCACACTTCGCACCCCGTCATACCGCTTCGGTAGTCTAGTTACTCCACCACACACTGCTTTTTCACCCTTCGGTCCTGAAGTCCTGGCTGGGGGGAGGAACGAGATGGAAAGCCACTATTAAAGCGTTGTGGGACTCAAAACTGGTGACCATAGGCGACCCGGCACACAGGTGGGACGCGGAGGAGGAGCAGCTACTCTTCAATCGCAATATTTTCTTCAGAGGCAGATCACCTTTTGGAAACCAGGCGGGTTCGCTTTGCCTGAAGGGCATTCGACTGGGGGATTTGGTGGCGAAAGGAGGGGATGGCAGCAGATCTCGTAAGAGTGAGGAGGTTCTGGAGAGGGAACTGGGAGGTGAAGAGCAGAAGAAATGGGCCCTGAAGGCGTGGGAGGCGGCGCCGCAGAGGTGGAAGGATCTGGTACTCAACCAACTGTCTGCGGAGGAATTTTTCAGGGAAACAAGGCTGGTCCGCTCTGCGTCTTACCGGCCAGGAGTGTTCTTTTACTACCAGCTGCAGTATGTGAGCAACGGCGAACTATATGGTCGAAGAGTGACGGTGGACAAGAAAGGGAACATAGGTGAGGTGGAATATGCTAGCGTGGGAACGGTGGACTTTCGGCGCGTTTCACCCATGGCAGTCATAGACGGGAGGGCCCGCGGCTTACTCGGCGCTCCAAGAACGCGACTGCTTTTTTCCACAATCTGTGAGAAAGGCGAGCGAGCTGATCTAAAGAAGCTGAGGAAGGCGATGAAACCCTCGGTGACGCAACCGAAACAGCAGCTCAAGTGGGAAGAGGAGCTGGGGAGGAAGATCGGCTGGGGGAAGGCCATCATGGTCCGTGACTCACAAGCAACCCCATGCAGGGCACGGGAAGTAATACTGAGGGTGCACAGTAACAACCTCCAGGTGGGAGAACGGCTCCCTTTCTTGGGCGCGAGGGCGAAATGCACGTACTGTGGTGGAGTGGAATCGCAGGATCACTGCCTTTTCAGCTGCCCGACGATCCAACCTGTGGTGGGGGTGATGAGGAAAGCGGTTCAGTGTATGAATCCGGGCAGAGACATGCGATCTCTCGGTGACATGCTCTTCCAAAGGAGTGGCACGTCAACAGGCTTCCCTGAGGCGGCAATCATATCCATAACAGCGCATCAAGTTTGGCTGGAGAGGTGCAACGCGGTTTTCCGCGGTAGCCGTTTCCAACCAAAGAGAGCATTGAGGCGCATAGCGGTTGGCTTCACGAGGCACGTGAAGATCTACAGCAGAGCGCGGAAGAAAACGGCTGGCAGAAATGCCCCGGAAAGGACGGGTGACTGGAGCCACCTGAATGCTGACGAAGCAGGTGCTATGCGCAGGCTCTACAAGACAGAGGCCTCGATGACGTGGAGAGCGGGTTTTAAGGCGATCTGGGAAGATGGCGGTGTAGCTTTCCAACCTCCGTAAAAGGATAAGGGGGGCTCTGGTTACCTGTGTACTTGTAGCCTCTACATGCCCTCCTAGCAACAGTTACGACTGCGGATGTATGTATGCTGGTAGTGTACTTCTATCCACCAAAAAAAAAAAAAAAAAAAAAAAAAACTGCTTTCCTTTCCTGGTTCTCGATTCCAGTCGAGTCGCATTGTTCTTCCGTTTTCCGTTACAGATTAGCTCTTCTGCAGGTTCTTTTGAGCTCGAAGATAGCTCCAAATGGCGGCAGCAGCGCCTAAGCGCAAGAGAACTTGGGACACGCCACCAGTCGCGGATTCAAGCGCCAATGCACAGAACGGAGCGCCTTCTATCGCGGATGGACCGAGAAAGCTAGCATCCGCAGCAGACCGCAAAGGAAAGGCGAAAATGCGCGACGACTACGACGACGAGGAGAGACGCGGGCCTGATTCCGAATTCCGTCGCCCCGTGCTCCCCGCGGCGCCGGGCGACAATGAGGAGGTTGACATGGAGCTTCTAGAAGCACTCGAACGGGAAGCTGCGGCGGCGGCAGCGGCGGGAGAGGGCGGAGCGGGAGGCGGGTTCTCCGTCGAGGTTATGGACCTCCGCGGATTGCGGCGAGCCGTTCTGGCTTTCGAGAAGCGGCTCAAGGAGAACATGGATGCGCGGATCCGCCACGTGGACCAACCAGAGAAGTTTATGGAATCCGAGGTGGAGCTCGACAGGGAGGTCAAGAAGCTCCACGCTGTCGCAAGCGCGCCGAGCCTGTACCCGGATTTAGTTCGGTTGAATGCGGTTCCGTCGATTTTGTCGCTCCTGGGGCACGAGAACACGGATATCTCGTTAGGAGCGGTTTCGTTACTAGGAGAGTTGACGGATGCGGATGCGATAGGGGATCACGAGGAGGAAGCGAAGGCATTGGTGCAGTCGCTTGTAGATTCGAGCGGGCTAGAGCTTCTCGTTCAGAATCTTCAGCGATTGGACGAAAAGGATAGCGAAGAAGGTAACGCCGTTTTCACGACGTTAGGTATTTTCGAGAATATGATCGAGGCGTTGCCATCGGTTGTAATTCCCAGGGCTATTATAATGGCGGTTACAAGGCTTTTATAATATTCCAATACAAAATAGTAGCTTTAACTAGCCTTAATAGCCTTGGAGATGAAGATCTTCTTGATGCCTTTGATGAAAAGCACTTGGAGTAGTAGTGTAGGGAGACTTGTGAGAGAGCCCAAAAGGACTTAGAGAAACAATCCCATTTCCAATTGTTTTGTTGGAGTGGGAGGTTGAGAATGAGCTTGCTTAGCTCAGACCCCCTCAATACACCCCTTGGGGAACTATCCCAACCATGGTTTCCATGGTGGGATGGTTCCTAGGCTTGGAGCCTATGTGGCAATTGTGTTGGGTTGGAAAACCCAACTTAGAACCATTCAATGGTTGTGTTTAGGATAGAGTAGATTGTAACACTTGTTTGGCAGTTTCTGATTGGTTGGAATTCCAACCTTCAACATTCTCTTGGTTGAGTTGGAAATGTTCCAAACCTCCAAAGTTGAGGCTTGGCAAACCCAAACCAAGTTTCATCCCAACCAACTCAACAATCTTCTCCAACTCTTCCTTTGTCGAGAGAAGTTCTCAACAATTGACTTAGAGAGAGATCGATGGTTGTTAGCTCGGTAGTTAGGGTAATACGTTACACTCCTCCCCCCCCAGGTGGCAACGTCCCCGTTGCCCTAGGGTGCTTCTAAGGACGAGTGCTTCGAGCACGGCGCACCACATTACGACCAGGGTCAACCCCGTCCACTGGTTGTGGGCCTGCTCGTAGAGCCAGGTCTTCCATATACGCTTGAACCGCTGCTTCGGTCAAGTGTTCCTCAGGCTCCCAAGAGTTGTGTTCCGGCCCATAGCCTTTCCACTGAATTAGGAACTCACGAACAGTTTTGCGGCCGCGTTGTCGATCACGGTGCGTTAGCACACGCTCGACTTCATAAAAGAGTTCCTTCTCGAGAGCGATGGTTGGTGGCGGTAAGTACTTGCCTTCTGCAACGTACTTGTTCAACAGAGACACGTGGAAGACGTTGTGAATCTGCAATGTCGCAGGCAATTTGAGCCTATATGCGACCTCACCAACACGCGCAATCACCTCAAAGGGCCCAATCCAACGAGGGAAAAGCTTTCGTGCTCCCGGGATCTTGAGACGAATGTTCTTCGTACTCAGTAATACTTTGTCGCCAACTGCAAAGACGACTTCCCGGCGTTTCATGTCGGCATAGGACTTTTGCCTCTGTTGGGCAAGCTGCAGCCAATGGCGAGCGGACTTCAATGTCGCTTGCTGTTTTCCAATAAAGTCCTTTGCGGCAGGGATTTTGAGGTTCTTAATCCCATGCGTCGCGGGGGTTGTGGGGTGCCGA